GTGACATAAACATGTATCTAGTGGGACCGTCGTCCGGAAGATCAACAACTTCCGTAAAATGGTCACTCCATAAGGTGAGAGGTGTAAGCAGTACTATGACGAGCAACTCAACGGTGATGCAGTAGAAAACGAAGGTGGCACGGCAACAGATCTTGGAGCACGCTCAGAAGACGGCAGGCTACCGGCCCCTGGTCTTCAAGAAGTTGAGGAGGAAATCGGTCAGCTTAAGAACAACAAAGCAACAGGTGCAGATCAACATCCAAGTGAGCTATTGAAATACGGTGGTGAAGCACTGGCTAGAGAGCTGCACTGGGTAATTGCCAAGATTTGGGAGGAGGAGATATTACCGAAGGAGTGGATGGAAGGTGTCGTATGCCCAATCTACAAAAATGACGACAATTTGGATTGCTGCAACTACCACGCGATTACAATGCTGAGCGCCGCCTACAAGGTACTCTCCCAAATTATATGCCACCGCCTGTCACCATTTGCAAGAATTTGTGGGGCAATAACAGGTAGGATTCATGGGTTCATATTCACGATTCGGCAGGTTCTGCAGAAATGCCGCGAATATAATACAACTTGCTTGCCGAAAATGATACCAGCAGAGAATTTCAAAGACGCATAATGTCAGGGAATCGGGCCTACTTCGGCCTCCGGAGGACGCTCCGGTGGAATAAAATTTTCCGCCACACGAAGTTGACTGTCTACAAGACGCTGATTTGACCGGTGGTCCTGTACAGTCACGAGACCGTGACTATGCTTGTGGAGTACAAAAGCGCCCTTGGTGTTTTTGAACGGAAGGTGTTGCGTACCATCCACGATGGAGTGCAGATGGATGACGGAACATGGAGGAGGCGAATGAACCACGAATTGCACCAGTTGTTGGGAGAACCATCCATCGTCCACATTGCAAAATTTGGGCGACTACGGTGGGCTGGGCACGTCGTAAGAATGCCGCACGACGACCCAGTGAAAATGTTTCTAAAAAGCGACCCAACAGGAACAAGAAGAAGAAGCGCGCAGCCGGCAAGGTGGATCGACCAAGTAGAAGCTGACCTGCGGACCCTTCGCAGACTACGAGGCTAACAAATTCTGGCCATGGATCGAGTAGAGTGGAGAAGACTTCTTCGGACAGCAGCGGACAACAAGGCCTTAGCCCGATTGCAAGCAAGCAAGCCATAAAATTGATCAAAGGACAAAAAACCGTGCAACTGTGATATTAGAATGAACTTGGGGTCTTAACGTAAACATAGACCCGAATGACCATGGGACAGTCCACCGGAAGATCCGTAAAAGTGGTCCATCCACGATACTGTTTCTAGAGCTCCGTTGTTTTGTTGAAAACACTTCGAACTGTGATATATGAAAGAATTTAGGGTCGAGACATCAACATGAACATGGATGGCCATTGGACCGTCCTCCAGAAGAATCATCCGTAAAAGTGGATCATTTATAAAACTGTGAAAAACCGTTGTTTTTTTTCGAAAACTCTTGGAACTGCGATTTAAGATAGAAGAGGGTCGTGACATAAACATGGATCCAGATGGCCATGGAAATCTCCTCCAAAAGATCAGGAACATCCGTAAATTTGTCATACTGTGAAACTGATCCTAGAGCTCTGCAGTTCATTTTTAAACACTGTGATATAAGCAACCACTGGACCACTTGTAAAGATTTTCCGTATCTTCCGGAGGACGGTCCCATGGCTATCTAGGAACATGTTTATGTCACGACCACAAATTCATTCTTATATCACAGTTCCTAATGTTTTTGAAAAATAAAAACTGCGGAGCTTTAGGATCAGTTTCATTGATTGACTTCTTTTACGGATATTCTGGACTTACCAGAGAGTGGCCCCATGGCCATTTGGGTCCATGTTTATGTCATGACCCCGCAGTTTCACATGCTTTCGAAAAAAAGTAGTACTCTAGGATCAGTTTCGAGGATTGACCATTTTTAAATGTGTTCTAGATCTTCCGGAGGACGGTCACATGGCCTTCTTGGTACATGTTTATGTCACGACCACAAACTAATTTATATATGACTGTTCCAAGTGTTTTCAAAAAAACCGTGGAGCTCTAGGATCAGTTCCATACATTGAACACTTTTACGAATTTTTCGGATCTTCCGGAGGACGGTCCGATGGCCATCAAGGTCCATGATTATTTCACGACCCCAAATTCATTCTATCATCTCAGTTCTTAATATTTTTCAAAAACCTTGGAGCTCTAGGATCAGTTTCATGGATTGATTACTGTTACGGATGTTCCGGATTTTCCGGAGGATGGTCCCATGGACATCCAGGTTCATGTTTATGTCGCAACCCCAAATTCTTTCTATCATCACAGTTGCTATAGTTTATAAAAAAAAAAAACGCGGAGCTCTAGGATCAGGATCGTAGATTTACTACTTTTACGGATGTTCCGGATCTTCCGCTGAATGGTTCGATGGCCATCTGGGTCCATGACCCAAATTCATTCTTATATCACAGATCCTAATGTTAAAAAAAACGCGGAGCTCTAGGATCAGTTTCATGGATTGACCACTTTTGCGGATGTTCCGGATCTTCTGGTCGACGGTCCCATGAACATCCAGGTTCATGTTTATGTCATTACCCCAAATTCTTTCTATCATCACAGTTTTTAATGTTTAAAAAAAAAACGCGGAGCTCTAGGATCAGGATCGTGGATTTACTACTTTTACGGATGTTCCGGATCTTCCGCTGGACGGTCCGATGGCTATCTGGGTCCATGACCAAAATTCATTCTTATATCACAGATCCTAATGTTAAAAAAACGCGGAGCTCTAGGATCAGTTTCATGGATTGTCCACTTTTACGGATGTTCCGGATCTTCCGGAGGACGGTCCCATGGCCATCCAGGTAAATGTTTATGTCACGACCCTAAATATTTTTTTATATCACAGTTCCTAATGTTTTCAAAAAAAAACCACAGAGCTCTAGGATCAGGTTCATGGATTGACCACTTTTACGGATGTTCCGGATTTTTCGAGGACCGTTCGGTTGTCTCCAGGATCCATATATAGGAACCATGACTGTATTCTGGCTAATTGTGAACATTTGTGCCCATTAATCTAAATTACAGATCTTGCGCCTCTTGCAAAATCGTACAAACACACCTTTCAAAAAAACGTGTAACAACTCTTTTCGCTTTTTAAAAAAGTAGACGACTCTATTTTTAATCTTTTTACAATAAAAATTATCTACAAACCCAAGGAATTCTAAAGGTACCAAAAATTTTGAATTTCATTAAGAAATGGCTAAGTTGTGCCATTGCAAACTTGCCGTTACACGTTTTTCGGAGGCTTCGTAGTCGGCGTAAAGTTTTTTACCCACCGTATTCGGAGTGTTAACGTACCCCATTCTAGTCGAAATCCAGTTTTGATTCGCTATGAAAACTTGACAGATAAAATGAGGGGTTCGTGGATTTTCCTATGTTTCGAGGGGTGCATCGATTAGCTTGGGACTGAAGATAGTACCAGAGCTGAGCCAAAAATTTGAGCACGTTTCTTCGGGACCTTTTGGTCTTAGAGTTACCTCTATGATAGTACTGCTTCCACCTCTCAATCACCTCACACTTATTCTTGAGAAGGGTACCGTCCTAGTCCTTGCACATATCGGTTTGCGGCACGTAGCCTTTGCGAGTTTTGTCAGAACCAGAGATCTGTATCGCTCCACATTCAATCTCGTGCGGTATGGCAGCATTCTAGCCCGTGCTGCATTCTTCTCCTTCCATTAACAGTTTGCATTCGCCGTCAAGCCAGTCATTTATTCAGTCCGGGATCGCAGTACCTAGTGCCGCTGCAGCAGTACTACCTATGGCGGAACGGATGTCCCTTCAGCAATCTTCAAGAGTAGCTGCGCCAAGCTGCTCTTCCGTGGGTAAGGCAACTTCGAGCTTCTGCGCGTAATCCTGGGCAACTCCGGCGAACCTCCGAGAGTTTTGAGAGCATGCATACTGCAACTAAGTAGTGGTCCGAATCTATGTTGGCACTGCGATACGTGCGGACGTTGATAATGTCGGAGAAGAGTTTTCTGTCGATTAGAACGTGATCGATTTGAGTTTCTAAGTTTGAGTTAGTCACTAAGATTTAAAGTGAGTTAGTCACTAAGATTTAAAGTGTGTTAGTCACTAAGATTTTAAGTTTATCTTAATTAACTTGTTTCGAACCATTAGAAATCCAAGGCTAAAGCACAGGAAGCTCACTTGGCCTTCCTTCCCCTATGGACCTTTGAAATATTCGATTTAACTTAAAAAATGCGGAAAGAGATTTGTTGAATATGACTTAGTCTGTTTGTTGAATATGACTCACTTGAAGATTTTTTCGTCCATTTCGGTGAAGATTTTTTCTTCTTCTAAATACACTTGACATCCCTGATTGCTCCACAACCTACTGGAGGGTAAGATCATCCTCTTCATTCAGCTCATTCATTAGCAAATATAATGAAATACCAGAGATAAACGCTATACAATTCTAGGGGCACTTTGCTCAAGCTTTATAGAACTAAGGATGACTATTTTTAAAATGGTTGTAATGTTATCTCAAGTACCGAGCAGTTCAAAATCCCGTGTAGACAATCACACTTAGTTATTGTCTGTTAAGATAAAACCCGTAACGCTTCGCTAGTCCACACTAGCGCACTTCGGTGTTGTGCTTTAGCGACAATATTAGAGTTGAATCGTCGCTGCAATCAGTTATCAGTACGCATCATGTCATATAATAGTACCAGAGGGATAGGTTATCTCAGTGCTGTCGAAAACGTCCCACTTTGTTCAATAATCTAAGCACATATATAATGCAAATGATAAGCAAAACAATGTGAATGTTTTTCATCACATCCAATTGATGAAACGAATGGTCATCATCCATACCTATTGATGCTGGCTGCTGATTGCGAAAAGTTGCTCCACAGCTAAGATAAGAAATGGAAAACCGCTCGAAACTTTCATAAATTTCCATTCTAACTTCTTCGATAGTACCCCGCGAAGGCTATGGCCCCGGAATGCAGGACTGGGGCTTCGTCGAGGTTCGCCCCGGAGCGCACATGTTCTATTGGCTGTACTACACCACGGCCGAGGTGGAACAGTTTACCGATCGCCCTCTGCTGATTTGGCTTCAGGGAGGCCCGGGAGCCTCCTCCATGTATGGCAACTTCGAAGAACTTGGCCCGTTGACCCTGGAGGGTGAGGAACGCAATCATACCTGGGTTGGTAGCAAAGTAACGTCGTTCCCCTCAAATGGCGCCTTTTCAAATGGTTCAATTCTAGGTCAAAAACTATAACGTCCTCTTCATTGACAACCCAGTCGGAACTGGGTTCAGCTACGTGGAGAATCTGTCGCTGCTGACGATTGACAATGCCCAGATAGCTGACGATTTGCTCACGTTTACCAAGGAGTTCTACAAACGGAATCCAGAGTTCATGACCACCACGCTGCACATCTACGCCGAAAGCTACGGAGGAAAGATGGCTCCGGAGTTCGCGTGGGTATTAAATAAAGCCATCAATAATGGAGAACTGGATATTCAGCTTGAATCGGTAGGAATTGTTGCCCCATGGGTGTCGCCAATCGATTCCGTCCTGTCATGGGGTGAATTCCTGCTCAACATGGGATTCGTGGATACGAAAGGTTACAGGGCGATTCAGGCTGCGGCCATCGAAACCGAACATATTTTGAACGAGGGCAAATACGAAGAAGCTACCTGGCAGTGGGGTAGCACCGAGGATGTTATCTTGCGGGAGACATTGGGAATCGATTTCTACAATGTGCTGTTTACTCAGGACTTCAGAGCCACGCAGTCTCGATTGGCGATGTTTGCCAAGGATATGAAACGTAAGTTATTGGTTGTACATATCTTGTAGCTTTAGAACTTACATAACTTTTCTAATCCATTCCAGAGGCTACCCTCGACAGTGCAGTTCGCCTGGCCTCCGAAGATCGCGACCAAATGTTGAAGGATCTTATGCGTGGACCAGTCGCCTCTACCCTGCAACTCCCGGAAGAATCCGTCTATAACGCCCAAGGTGGAGCCGTATTCCAGAGCATGGCTGGAGACTTCATGAAACCGGCTATGCATGTTGTAGAACTTCTACTCAACAGCACCAGTTTGGAGGTGATGGTCATCACCGGGCAGTTAGACTTGATTGTGGCCACCGCCGGAAACGTTGTTTGGTTGGAAAAGCTCCAATGGGAAGGACGCAACGGTTACTTGGCAGCACCTAGGAATGGAGTCGGTCCGCATGGAATTCTCGAAGGATATCAAAAGAGCTATGGTAAACTGCACATGTACTGGGCTCTACGTGCCGGACACATGGTACCCGCCGACAACCCCGTCCTAATGGATTACATTCTCAAGAAGCACGCTGGCTTTCCAGAGGATTGATCCTAATTTACCAAAAATAAATCAATGGGTGTTTCTCAATCAATATCATCGAAACCTGCCACCTTAATAATTAAACAATGTTTTATTCGAAAAACACAAACACCTACCGCCCCTAAACGATTCGCCTTAGTTGCGCCCCAATCTGATCCAGCGAAGCTTTATCGATCTCTTTCAGACCAAGCGTAATCACAATCTCGTCGTCCTTATTGATAAAATTCATCAAATACCTAATTGCCGCTTCCGCTTCGTCAGAAGCCGCTCCGAATGTGTGCTTTATCGAGTAGATCCGGCCAACTCCTCCTCCTCCTCCTCCACAGGGCTCGTTGCTTGCCTGGTTCCGTACCGTGTATACATTGGTCACCTTCTGTCGTTGGGTGATCAGCAGAAAGGACTTGTTCGCGAACCGGTGGTAGACGATGTCCGTTGGGTGATCACCGATTAGAATAGTTTCGATGTAGTCGAATGCTTTTTCCCCGGACATTTTTCTATGCTCACTCGCACAAACAACTGTAACCTACTTATTTAACGATTACGCGAGAAAAGTGCGATTCATTGATGAATGGGCGTAAAATCGAACGTGAGCTGCAGCAGAATTTTGCGCGAGTAATCGAATAAACAAACTCCGGTGGTTTGTTTACAACGGAGCTGTCAAAATACGATTATCCACTGAAAAAGATAAGGGTGCATCCGGGGTGCATCAGCAGAATCCGCCTACAGTCAGCACTGTGCTGCCATCTGCCGAGCAGTAGCGTTACGATGATACACACTTAAAATAATCGACGCGTTGTAGTTACGTGAAAAATCACGAAGGGTAGTTCTTTTTTCTTTGCTGTCAATTTTACGTGGCCCAAGTAAACTCTACATGATACTCGACATGATACCACTTATATGTGAACTGAAACTCCTTTCGAAACCGTCAGATTGTTTAGTGAACTTTACGTGAATTACACATACACAGATTCTATGGTCGTTTCACGTAAACCCTAAGTGATTTTCACGTCTGAAAAAATAAATCAGTGATTCACTCATAGTGCTACACAATAGGCGAATCCAAAAGAAACTAAGCGATCGTTTCATCCTCTGGCCGTTAATAGGGGAACCCTCAAAAGAGTGATGACGGTGGAAATTTTCACCGTGAAGCATAGGAGGAGGACAATATTTTCACCTTCCTGATTAATTTATCCACCGCAGGTGCTTGAAATCATCATCCACGTGGAACATTTTGTTTTCTGTATCGGGTTTGCAGTGATCCGGCTGGTGCTTCCATATATTTTTGATAAGAAAAATTAAGATTTATTAAATTGTCCCAGCGGTTATGATCTTCTGGATTTTTAATGTGTGGTTATTTCAGCTGTAAATCAGTTCAGATCTGTAGATAATCGAAAAATACGACCACTCCCGATGGAAATTTACAAGTTGTACAATAAAATGTACATTGTTTTGAGTTTTGAAAATCATCATTATGATGTAAACAAATGGATTGGATGACATTTCCTTTCAAAATCGGCTAGCGCACTCTACATTGATGGTGCATGAAAAGAGCCTATATGGCGCTAGTTTATTGTGCATGTTTACATGCCATAGGCCTTTTTAATAGAAACTAAACGATCGATTCAACCTCTGGTGGTGAATAGGAGAACGTCAAAAAGAGTGTTGTGAGCATAAATTTTTGCCTTGAGACATTGTCCAATCCAAGTTTCAATCGGCCACCGTGGCGCTGCAATCGCAGCGGTGATAAGTCCGAAATAATGTGTCAAACTGAATACATTTTTGAAATTTCAACCAAAAAACTATTATTTTGCATTTATTCTAGCGAGTTTCTGTGGGAGTCAAAACATGATCCGAGCAAAAAAGTAGCACTCGTAATAATGGTTTATAATTCTGAATTTTATCGTGCTTTGTTTCGAAAATATCTTCCAAATAAACAAACATCATCCAGATCACCCGATTCGTCCACCGACTAAATCTATTGCCACTTAAAAATTAATTTCAGTCGGGGTATTAATCAGCAGATTAAATCGTTTTTTGTCTGGTGCTACACCGAGCAATCGGCCTATTTAATAGTTTTTCGTCGATGGATTTAGTCGGCCAACTTTGTCTGCTGTTTAATCGGCAGATGATTTCAAACCTTAACATGTTTTCTGTAATTTAACTGTCTTGAAGTAGCTTTTTTATTTAGGAACAATGAATTAAAAAATAATTTTATGCATTTTGTACAAGGTTCATCCATGCTGACAAGAAATTTGCATGAAATTACATTGAAATTAAACAATTTTGCAAACAATCAATGAAATTGTCAAGGGCTGTCACAGACTTATCACCGTCAGTTAGTGCTTATTCCTGCCACCAGGCGCGCAGGAGTTTAAGTTTAAGTTTTACCTTTCCTGATAAATTGATTCATCTGAGATTAATTAATTAATTTATCTTTATTAAGGAGGCTTTCAGCCTTGGGCTGGTTCGCCTCCACCATCTGAGATGCTGCAAAACTTAATCTACAGTTGAAAAATTTAATTCTGTAACGTTTTGGAAAAGATCCTGCTGGTGTTCAGGAATATATTTGTTGAGAAAAATGGAAAATTAGAAAAGTGCCTTAGTGGTTATGATCTTCCGGATTTCTTGTGTGTGAATAGTTAAGGTGCAAATCAGTTCAGATTTGTGGAAAATCGTACAATAAGACAATTACCGATGGAAATTGGCAAGATTTTGAATGAAAAATGCTGTTATTTGCGTTGGGGAAAATACTTATTCTGATGTAAACAAACGGTTTGGTTGACGTTTCTTCTCGAACTCGCGTGGCGCACTCTACGTTGGTGGTGCATTAAAAAGGCGTATAGAAACTTAGCGATCGATTTAACCTCTGGTGATGAATAGGAGAACGTCGAAAAGAGTGTTGTGAGCAGAATTTGTTGCAGTGAGACATAGGAAGCTGGCTCCGGTGGTGTAGTGGTAAGTGTGACTGCTTTCTCACCCCAATAGAGATCTCCAAGCGCAATCTCACGAACACTAAAATCCAACATCCATACGTAAAAACGAAGAAGAAGAAGAAACAAAAAGGTATCGCGATATCACAACTACTTAAAAAGTTGGAAGGGTTGTATACTAGATACGACCGCAGGGTTGGCGTTGGATAACGTCTGTTATGTGTTGTACTTAATTGTGTATATTATATTTTAGGAATATTCCTTAATAACTCTTTTGCGAAAGTTTGGTGGCCCTGAAAAGGGCCGTTTTGTTGGGCTGATGTTGTTGACAATGATGGAACGGGCGATCTTGTTGGACGCTTATATAGTAGAACAGAAAATATCAGAGGTGTCAGATACTCGCATACGTGCGTTAAACTCTTTCTTGATAATGTTGTGGCCCTGAAAAGGGCCATTTTTCCAACGCGCTCGGCGTAGTTGCCCTTGCGGAATACGGCGGTGAATACGACCGACTGAGAACTGCAGCAGCTGGGCATTCCATGACGGCGGCCCAGTATACCGGAGCACTGGCAACAACGCACTCGGCGTAGTTGCCCTTTCGCCCCCAGGCTCTGCTGCCGCTCCTCTGCTGCCGCTGCCGCTGCTCTGCTGCCGCTGCTCTGCTGCCGCTGCTCTGCTGTCGCTGCTCTGCTGCCGCTGCTCTGCTGCCGCTGCTCTGCTGCCGCTGCTCTGCTGCCGCTGCTCTGCTGCCGCTGCTCTGCTGCCGCTGCTCTGCTGCCGCTGCTCTGCTGCCGCTGCTCTGCTGCCGCTGCTCTGCTGCCGCTGCTCTGCTGCTCTGCTGCCGCTGCTCTGCTGCCGCTGCTCTGCTGCCGCTGCTCTGCTGCCGCTGCTCTGCTGCCGCTGCTCTGCTGCCGCTGCTCTGCTGCCGCTGCTCTGCTTCCGCTGCTCTGCTGCTGGGTCGACGATCGGATAGACAATGATGGAACGGGCGACCTTGTTGGACGCTTATATAGTAGAACAGAAAATATCAGAGGTGTCAGATACTCGCATCTGATGTCTCGGTTGGAGAAAGTATAAGAATATAAAAAATCAATGGATTTTCACCATCTTTAGACAATGGTTTACTTTTAATCATTTTTCAATAGTTTACAGAATGAAATCAATAGTCTCGAAACGTTCAGCAAATTGCTAGAAATATTTCCAATCGATTGATGCCATTATCTCGTAAATCTATCGAGAGACGGTTGAGTTATTATCGTTCAAAATCTTTTAATTTTTCGTAACGCATCCAAAATGACTGTTTTCAATTTTGTACCCCCGTATGTTGCCGAAAGACGTTATCCAACGTCAAAAGGTAGCGCGCGGTCTCACGCACGCTTTTGTGCATCTGGAGAACTCTATGGGTTCAACCCCAGTCGAGGTCGGTGCGATTTTTCTGAGGCATAAAAATCTCTGGTCACCTCTTTCTTCGGAAGGGAATTGAAGCCGTTGGTCCCAGCCCATGTGTGTTTGAATGAGTGCGATATCCTACGTAGGTGTGGAAGCTGCCTTCCTTGCACATTCGATTGCCGTCAATGGATGGCAATCGATATCCGTCGGTGATTGGCACTAGATTGCGGAACAGACACCGACGTTAAATAAATGAAAGAAGCAGAAGAAGAAGAAGAAGAAGATACATACGAAGTGGAATACTTTTTAACTTTCCCTCACAAATAGATTTATCCGAGATGCTCCAAAACTAGATCTACAGTCGAAAAATTTAATTCTGTATCTGCTGGTGTTCAGGATTATTTTTGTTGAGAAAAATGTAAAATTAGAATAGTGCCTTGTGTGAATAGTTGAAGTAGGCTCTTTTCATGCACTATCAATGTAGAGTGCACTAGGCGATTTTGAGAAGAAGTGTCATCCAAACCGTCGTTGTAAAATCGTAAAGTAAGACCACCCACAAACCGACATGAATGACCATAGCAAAAGCAATAAAATTTCAGACCAAAGCACACTACTGACATCTGGCTCCGTGTTCGCGGGAAATATTTAGCTAAACCATGAACCACCATGCAAAAGTTATGAATTGGTTCGTGTCTGATCTATTCTGGACAAATTATGTTTATCTAGATTAAAAAATCCTATGGTTTTGACAGTTCGGGTCACTGAAAATTAAAATCGGCCGTTTAAGATTTTCGGGCATAAGTCAGAATTAAGTGTCAAGTCGGTTTGTCGGTGGTAAGACTATTGATCAATTTAGATGGTCAAGTTTTGAACTCACCACAGCATGCTTTTGGCGCTACTGTATATGGACGATCAAATGTTAAATACTGTGGTATCTAATTGGTGGTACATTAAAAAAGCCTACACAGCAAAAAAAAAAGTTCAGAGTTGGTTGGAAATGCTAACATGAAGCTTTTAGTGTGATGATTTATTAGCTAGAGAATGATCTTTAGAAGAGGGTAGGTGGAGACATACTTCAAGTCCCCGCGTACATCGTACGGGTTAGGCAAAAATGTGCGTCTATCTTGAAAAACTGTCGCATCAATGGCCCTTCGCTCATTTTCAACTTCTATTCAATTTTCATACTGCCGTACTCTAACGGAACTATCCACCTACCCTCTTCTAAAGAT